TACTGCTTACGCCAATAAATATGCTAGTATCTACTTTTCTAACGCCTTCAAACATTATGTTCACTTTTGGCTTTGCCGCCGACATGCTAATATGTTGTTGTCAAAACTAACTTAAACTACCCATAATGTATGTCGAATTTTATTTATTGTTAATTTACAAAGTGGATGCAGTATTGTAGTGAAATGCAGAGAATTCCATTCTGTGTGTCGGTGGCACAGTGGTTAGGACTCTAGCCGACCATGCACATGGTCCGGGGTTCGATCCCCAGCCGACGCATACGCGATATCTATGGTCGGCCTGTAAAATTTGGGCTACCGACATACATGCTGAAAATTCCATACTTGTACTGAAAGTACGGTGTGGCATCAAGCTGTAATCAAAAATATAAAAAAATATAAGTAGTTTTGGAATAAAGCAAATTATTAAATTATTATTCTCTGACATGTCTAATGTGTGAGAATTTCGGAGATTTTAACAACGTATCATTTTTTATTTTATTTTTATATTTATTTTATTTTATTATAGCTTGATTCCACAGCGTATTTTTGGTGCAAATATGGAATTTTCAGCATGTGATATCGGTAGCCCAAATTTAGCAGGCCGACCATAGATATCAGGTGTGCGTCGGAGTGGGATCGAACCTCGGACCATGTGCATGGTCGGCGAGAGTCCTAACCACTGTGCCGCCAACGCACAGAAGGTGACCACGTCTCGGTGTCTGATCAGGCCAAGGTGTATTACCGTAAATCACGTAATTTAAATATGCAACTCATATAATACTTATATATGCCTTTACAACTTGTGTGTCCTACATTTTTAGGAATATATATGTACCTTATTATATTATCATTACTAACTATACTCACTAATCGTATATGTAATTTATTGAATTGATGATGCCTGTAAACTGGCGTCCCACATGTACAAAAATGAGAATATATTATTATTATTAATAGGTTCATGTCTTTTGCTGACGTTTTTAACCGGTAGTGAAGCACGACACTAGGATTGCTCAACTGGTATTTTGTGTAAAGTTTTCAAGGAGCTGCGGGACTGCAGGTATATGAATCTTAAATTACTTGAGTGTCAAATAAACGACTGTAATGTGGAGATCTGAAGTCAGATACTCCATGGGGCATCGCCTGAAATATTAAACATATCTAAAAACTCAGAATACGAAAGAAAATAACGAAACAAACAAAAACCACGCGTAAAAGTAACACAAACTTCGAACATGAACAGTATCCGGTCCTTGTAATAACTGATCATTCAAAGAAGTGCCACTATATCTAGCCTCACAGTCAAAAACTACTCGAAGCTTTTCAGGCATTTCCGGATTCATAACCGGATGATGAGGTACACACCATTCTACGCCTCCCGGATGAGCAAGTATTCCAATCAGTTTCCCAGAATATCCTTCCAGTGAATCTCTCGCCATTACTTCTTTACACCTATTCAGTAGAATACAGTCTTTATAAGCACGTCAATGACTCGCCACTCAGCAATTTCCTAGCAGATTAGGGTAATCATACTTCTATGATAATCCTACCGCAAAGTGGCCGTCTACAAGTCTGGAGGAACAAGAAGCCGCCTCTAGCCCCTTTCTGTCCCCTTCAGTATGCTCCCCAGTTAGACTATTCATGTCTTTGAGTCATTGTCACACAGCCTTTGAAGACTGTTTAGCATCTCCTGGCTGTTCGAGGTATGACAGCATAGAACACTGATTGACGATTCACCAAGTTGTTTCTGTCCTAATATAATCCAGCCCAAATTAGTTCGAACAGCAGACGCTACTTCCTCCAACCGAATCGTAGTTCTAGAACCCAGTGTGCGTCTGGAACATCGCTGCCAAATAGAAGGCCAAACGCTCTATCTTCAGCACTTGGCAACCTGTTGTCTTCCAGATGTTCGAAGACCCTTAGCTGTTCCTCCGTATGGTGTTGTCCGTTAAATGTTGGTAAGTGGTATGTCGTGTACGATCTTTTTATTTTCACTAAGTCTCTTTCATCCAAAGTAAATGGTTTTAGAGCCACTTCAAAAGGATCATACTGTGAGATTCCTTTTGCCGTCACTACATTGAGCCTCGACTAACTTCCCTTAATGCTCAACCTTTTAACTGTCGTTTCTGAAACAAGGGACGTGCCTTATCCGCTGTATATGAGAGTGTACGTTTCCAAACACCCTCTCGGTCCAAACAACTTCACAGGGACTAGACTGAGATAAACTCTCCCAGTATTTTCCTCATATAGAAAGAGTGTTACTGAACTCTTAGTCTTATTAGTGTGGCAGAGTGTGATGGCGAACGTTGCATCCACCCGCATTACACGTTTTTCGTGAAGGACAACACCTTGCAATGTGGCTTAATTAGGGGAAAACATAACAAACATCTAGTTCCCTAACAGAGTATCTCCTGTCTTGACGGCCATATCCCACATTTTGAGACACTCCTCTGGGCTGTGAGAACTCTAAGAAAAGTGTAGTCCTCAGATTCCCTTGGAACACTCTCAGGTTGCCTTGTAATAGACCGCTCAACTACAATTCAATGAAACACGGGATACTATCTCGCTGTAGCTGTTTCCTTGACGTACGCATTGAGTCTAATTAACATTCTGCAACGTGTTCGAGCCGCTCGCGCTACTTCTCCTGAAAACCTAACTAGGTCTTTGAACTCTGGTTCCCTACTGGCCACCGAAATTCTCTCAGCTACATCAGCTTATTTTGCCTGTATTTTGATGGGGAGTTCATTTAGGAAGTGTATCCCTTAATACTCAACATGGTCGGAAGTGCATGCCATAATATTCAACGTGAAATGAGCGTAACGAAGTCAGCAGGATCATTTCCAGTCCTACCAATATGTTGGGAATACTTTGTAAGTTCAGTGAGTGAGCGTTGGCATGTTCTTCTTCAAATGAGTCGTACAGTATCTGCATGGCCCTTTCATAGGAGAGGTCTGGAGGATGTGCCATACTAGCTTCAGTTGCTTTTATTGTGGAAGTTATTATAACATTTCCCCTTTTATCAAGTAATTTACTTTCAGTAATGCCTAGAAACTGGCTGATAAACATTCCATGTTGAATAAGATAACCATAAAAGTGCAGAATATCGACCCTTAACATGTACATATTGTTGGGAATGGAACTTAGTGATTCCTTTAATTCTGACACATTTTCGTCCCTCTTCATATCTCTTAAGCTATTCACCCCCAATTCTAACTTTCTTGTCAGTTTATCACCAATTTGAGAATAACTGCAAAATCCTTAAAATTATTGCGACTGTTACCCAGACCGAGCAAACAAACACTGTCATTTTCAACATTCGGTCAAGAACTTCATTGGCCGAAGACTCAGGTAAAACTAAATTCCTTTGACAAAGATGAGGATCTTGGGGTTTAATAACTGGTGAAGTAAAAGTTATAGTGTCAGTGGATCCCAGCTTGCAATTACCGAAGTTAGTGGAAGACATTAAAATTCATGAAAGGGTGGTTTTAAAAATAACAAAATAGCGAGATTCATGCAAACGGACTATGCTGAAAGACAAAACAAATAATGATGATGCTTACCACGACAAAATGCAGGCTGCGCAAAATAAGTTCAGAATCAGCAATATGTATGAATCCGCGAGAGTTAGAGTGTAACTAACACGGTGAGTATTTCGGTACGTCAGGTCACCAATTTAGAAGGTAGCGAATATGATTTTGGGTATAGTACTGTATTAGATCCACGTTTTCACGTTCTACAGTAGGCTAACGCTGCATGGGACCTAATATGAAGCAACACTGTAGCAAAAGACATTAGTGAAAACTGGAAAATATGTATTGGTAACGAAATCAAATCTCGAGGGCAGAGAGGCGAACGTGTGTATAATCGCATATAATATACATATATATGACAAACGGAGACCAATTTCCGAAAATACAGTGGCAAGCATTCAGAAAACAAATGCAAAACTAGTTTATGTATACGTATAATATGGATATATGAATTAATTGCATAAGCGTACAGTTAGAGCTATAAAAGGATTGCACGGACTGTCTTCCTGGACAACGTTATGCAATGGCATACAACATGGAGCCGTTTCTGATCCTCTCTTAATTATCCTTTATGTAAGCAAATTACCAGAATTCCTGGCACCTATGACCTAAAAATGATAGGAAACCCAAGGATGGCACTGACAAGATTAGGTTGCAAGATTACAACAAGTGATTGGATTGCTCTAAAGGATAGGTGCCCTAAATTACCACTGTGAGGTGCACGACCACGCGCAATGGACAGAAAAGCGTTAGTTCGTGTGACATTTAAAGAATGCCACTCCCGTCACTGCTGACGAACGCGAATCTAGGTGCCATGGCAATTCGAAACCTAAAATTAGGACGTACCGTTGAGTGGTTGCAGTTTTATACCCCTGTGGTAAATACCGGGTGCGTTTACCAGAATCGTCAATGAAACGTCCACCACTTTAAATATATGCTGAGGTGAAAACAGGAAGGCAGCACTCAAGCAGTCATCCTGTATCTTCAGGGGAACTCTAAGTAAAGTTCGAAGTGAGGGCAAAAGTATGATCCCTGGCATTAGAAATTTATCATACGATGAGAGTCCTAGTATTTCAAGCATGTACTCTAAATAATGCCATATATAGAGACGGCACTTAATCAAGATGTTCAAAGTTCTAAGAGGTGTCAGTGGACCTAGTTCATCTCTGAGAAAATCGCACGAGAATTCGAAAGCCAAGGAGCAGTTATATCGTTGTTGAGAACTGGTTCTGCCACCAACTTTTGGAACTGACTCCCAGAAGAGTGGTATACACCTCTTTAGCCAAATAGTTGAAGGAGGATTAAGACACTTCTGAGGCTTGTCCTTGACAGAAACATTAAAACAATCGAAGTCTGAATTGAAATTTGAATGTCGTTACCTCGCTGCGCGACAGACGATAGTGACGCTGCCTAAAAGGTCACAGCTGAAACGAGGATCAACCTTGGGTTTATGTCGAAGAAGACTAACTAATGTTGCCGGCGTTTGTCGCAAGGCTCATAATGTAAGTGCCCCTTGAAAATCATCTAGTTGCAGAACTGTTTTCGGAGTTATGCATCCGGCCTATAGGACATATAAAGCCATTAAAAGAAAAGATTATCAGGAAGTGGTACGTTCTAATTTCCTAGTTTCTCTGACAGCTCTGGGTATAACAGGTAACACTTGGAATGTACTGGGTAGTTTTCAGCATGTACATTACAGTGGAGATAGTCACTGATATTCTCCTCCAGTGGTATGTTTTCCCCAGAAGATTTACTTTACTTCATAGGTTCCCATTCTACTACGAAGCTAAGACTTTGTTTCTTATGTGGTTAGTTACACCAGCCACATCAGGATATAGTTTCATTTACCGGAAGATTATTCATCCTGAACTCACCAAGAGGGAAAATGTATGTCATGCACCTACGTTCATTTTTGTAGGAAATTGACGAAGCGATTAATAGAGCAAAAGAAAAAGGGTACTCAAAAGTCGTAGAGTTTGGTGCAAAAGGGTTAAATTATGCTGCTAAAGCTGTCCTCTCTGGTGCTATGCTGGTATGTACATATTAAAAATGTTTTTTATTTTTCTTACATGTTATTGTGTCCCACGAGTTGTTTCACTTGACGCAAATATAGAGATACTCAAGTTTATGTTTCGCTTTCATGTTAGTAAGATTGAATAAGTAACCTCTAATCTAGAAGTTTCACGCCAACTGTTTTATTTAGGATTGCAGCCATATGTTGAAAATGAACTGCAAAAAGAGTGTCTTTGCTTGGAGCGTGTTATATTTGTTTATACTTAGTTTATTTATTGTCAGACAATCGGGTTCTTGAGAATTCCCTCATAGATAACTTCTAATATAGGGGGGGGGGTTCAATTCAGAGTAGCTCTTAGGAAGAAAAGTCTAGATATTTGTAGAAGGATGAGTAACCATAATATCATGTGCTTGTGTCCATCAACTTTTTAGCACCATAGAACATCGACTGGAAAATGGTTATTATGGTTTGTAGCAGTTGACTCCTCAGAAATCTCCCTGATATTGTGGAAACGAATAAGGTTGATGCACTTAAGTCTGAAGAAATAAATAAAAAGTGACAAAACGAAACTACCTACACTAGATACACTTTACTACATTTTCCTCTGTTAAGCAATCAACGTATGACTCTTCATAGAACTTCGTTTCAATTTCTAACATTTCAAAAGAGCCTATATTATAAAGCAGCTGAAACGTAATGTTATCATGTTAGGTAAACTTGAGAGCATGACACTAATAATTAGTTGGAGTGTAGATACACGCCGTCACATCTGAAAACTACTCACACGTTAATGCTCCCGAATGAAAACAATACGGTTATTGCAACAGTCAGACATTCAGAGTCACTGCACATCATCCGCTTGGTAAGATCGGGTTTCACCGGCGCATACACCAAAGCTCTGTAAATCCGACCATAGCGATGTGAGATTGTATCATGGAGATTAGAGTACATTTATCATACTATGTCGTTCTTGTTTCTCTACCACGTTGTAGATGAGTGATAGCTTTTTCACCTAGGTTACTGCTAGTAGACCGCGATTGTATGTCTGTTCTATAACCGTAGATAATGTAAACTGCATTCCAGTGTTCTGTCCAACGTCCCAGCCTTCTTTTTAGAGAAGCTCATACAGTTCCTTTTCCGGAAATCGTGTCATTTTCCATTACTTTTTTGATCCTATTTTCTGAATAAGCCCAGATTGTTGAAGGGTTTCGCCTCTTGTTGAGAGTTTCCCTGCCTCTTTTGCTTTCGCTTACTGCTCTAAAGACTATCTGCTAACGTTTGGAATTCCCTCACCTGTCATCATGTTTGGGATCCCTTCGGACCACTCTTTGTGACTGTTCAGATGAAGCAGCAGAGATTCTACAATACTTTCTAATCTTTTGTTGAAGGTTACTGATAGTCTTTATTACTGTTTTTCAGCAGGTGCTAGTCATACTCAGTATAGGTACTAATGTTATACTTGGATTTGTATTACCTCTTAAATACGAATTTTGTATTATAAAAATGCTGAACACGGAAGGACGTAGCAGTTGCTTGTTTTCCGCTTCCGTTCGGCTTCAGACATACATGTGCATGGGCTTATGTATTATCGGAATCCAGGTGTTTTGAAAGTAGCAGTAGCCTTGCACCGACCGTCTCTCTCGAGAACTTGGAGCTAGGTAATGTATTTGTATTTATCACTGGCTTGATATTAGCAATCTCTAATTGTTGGCCATAAACCGATTGTTATTTGAGCAAAATTGTAAGAGACGATGCACGTTATCGGTTTGTTGGCATGAAACGCCATAGCTACCTTCAACGGGTTTTTCCAGCTCCTCTACTTGAACATTAAAGTCACTCACCAAGAATATATCTAAGTGATTTATTATAATAGCTAACCAGGTTAGAATGTGGATGGTGCCATACACTTATGGAACGTTTCTCGAAAATATTTCTCATGAGAAATTTAAAGCCAAGTAGGATAACTGAGCAGAAATCCATTCTCACTTTGGAAGAGCAGATCGAAGTAGTGGTACGCATTAGTTGGATTTATCAATTTTTTTAATAACTGTCAAGATAAGTGGGAAAGTTCCGATGAAGGATGAATGAAATATCACACCTAGTACTAACTCAAATCATTAATTATTGTAAATATAGTACTCAACTCACAAGCAGCTGTCGTCACCTTGATGTGGTAATTTTAGTTTGTATAACAGGTGTGATATCGGAGTACATGTGTATAATGAGTAATTTCTCCTTGTTCTACTTTACGACAGTGGGACAATCGGTGGATGTAGAAAAAACAAATAAGATGCCTTCGATCATATGTGCTTTTGTTCCGTTTCTAGCATTAGTTAGATCAGTCTAAGTGACAGTGAGATTAAGGATAAAGGTTTCGATGAAGATAGTTATATCAACATGGATTGGCTTGACTTGGGAGTGTATTAAGTTGATGAGCTATTTTAGTTAAAGTCAAACAAATTGTGGTACGAATCCATGAAGTCAGTGACCGTTGGTTTGAATCACATAGGGAGGTATAGGTTGCCTTGTTAGGATCATCCTGGTGCAAAAAATCAATGAATTGGCATCTCTATGATATGGCTCAAAATTGCTCACTTTTTAACATACAGATTTCTAAAATTATCTTATTCTGTTTACCTCACATACTCTGTAGTTTCATTACATTCCTCTACTTTTATATGTGCTGTTCCGATATGTGGCAACTTAAACTGATGCACTTTAGGGCAGAGTTTCACACTGATAAGTTATTCAGTCAATTCAATCCTATACTAATTCGTTTTTTGAATACATCACTTTTTTTTTTCTTCACGTTCCCCAGTGGAACATAGGGTTTCAAGCTGGTGGCTTGAAGTTTCGGTAGCAGTGTTTATTTTACAGGATGGGGTTGCTAGCCTCATGCCCAACCTTTCCTCTTCACCAGCTGTAGTTCTGGCTTAGCGAGGTAAAGGAGTGCGTCGGTAGGGGATCGAACCCCGGACCATGTGCATGGTCGGCGAGCGTCCTAACCGCTATGCCACCGACGCAATACATCACTTAATGAAACATTATTATTCACTGAATGACTTCGAACGCAACTTTTTGTTCGTAATCAGTTATAACTGCACAACTTTGTGTTCAGAGTGTAGATGTTAATGTCTACAACTTACTCTTCTAAGTGGATGCATGACTTGTTCCAAGTTGCTCATCTTCCTGTGAATTCGCACTGAAATTTAATTGTGCTACACTAAACACTTCCAAGTATATAGATCTCGATGTGTTTCTTGTAAACTGTCGTTGTGAGGTGATTACTAGAATACTTTGGTTGTTTCATTGAAATTAACACATGTATCAGTTCACACTTGAAGAGTTTTATATATCGAAAGTATTTTTGTATGTCATATTTTTCAGAAATCTGTTAAGTGCTTAATCGCTCTTTCGTCAAAAAAGACATATTTTCACTGCTACTTTCTTCGTATTAGTCGCATTGAGAAACTTTTTCAGTTGCTTACTTATCATATTGTATTGGAAACAACAATATTGTTATTTCTTTTCTTCATTAAGGGTCAAGACTTTTTGGTTGATCGTCTTGGAAGACGAAGTTCAAGTATGTTCGAGCTTAATCGTCCATCACAGATGGGGCGTCTAAGATTGGGTGCTGGTGACATGCTAGATTATAATGAGCCAGATTTTGCCAACACTTTTCGAGGTGAGTGAATGAGTATTACCTGTAGGTTTAACTTTGGACCTCTTTGTTGAGCAAATTGTTTTTATATAAATTCAAGGGGAAAATGCAATTTGCTTTCCTGTTGGCCTTTGAGTGCTTCACTTATAATATTGCTATTGATGTGATTATCTTTTTGTTTAGCGTTTTCTCAGGCTAACGTATTTTCCATTTTTCGCTGTAGTCATGTGTATAATCATATAATTATCCCATATTTTAATCAAATGGTCTAACTTTTCAGGGAGAACAAATCCAGAGGATGACCCATTTGCACTTAACTGGCTTCAAATGGGATCAACAGGGTCACTAGGGCGACATTGGAGACCGGGTTCTAAAGGTGTGGTGTACATTTTTGTATTCACTGTCTTTTTGTGTTGGGTGTGTTCTGATGTGTGTTGAATCATTATCACGTCTTTGTATGTATGCATTCGTGATTAAAGTCATTTTTGTGTATTCCTTACATTCTTTAACCTGACTCTTTAATTTCAGTTTTAGATACATCGGGTAGTTAACACTTTTCTTTATCTAATGCTGTTGCTTTTTTAACACTATTTAGTTGATGTGATTATTTGTGGATTAAATTATTTTGATTTTGGCTATGTGTATGACTACTTCTTGTATATAGTTTCTTCTGTCTAACCAAAGGTTTTTGTCTTTTTGATAAGCATTTTATTCTGATTTGCATGTTTTGTCCTAACCAAACTGTATTTGGCACTTACGCAAGGCAATTCTGCCATTTTTCCGTGACATGTGATCTTTTTTAATTTTTTGAGAATGGAAAGGGCGTTTCTTACGTGTTTTGCTGTGCAAAAAAGTAGTGTTGCATCCTCATAGGTTCATAATGACTTAAAGTAAGTTGCTTATCAAGGTTTTCTTACTGGTTTTTCTCTCTACCGGTTGGCAGTTGCTTGTTGGACAAATACTACTGTGAATTTTAACGCATTATTTATGGGTCTAATATAATAGTCTTAAGTTTATTTAACATTGTCAGTCGTGTTCACTGCTGCAGGAAAGCCATACTAGCTGTAGGTGGGAGGGGCTTCGAATTCATGGCTCATTGGCTGAGAGTCGAGTGCTTAAGTCAACGAGCCACATCTCCACATTAATGTTAGTGTACGGCAAATCAATACATGCAGAACCTTGATTGAGTTATTGCATCTGTTTCTAGTTTTTCACTAGTTTGATCAGGCTATGGGCACTAATTCTCGAAGTTTTGTCTTATTTCTCATTGGGAAGTATAAAGTCTAAAACAATAAAGATTTTAGGAGTTCACTAAGTCCCAGAATTTTATCTCAAACAGTTTAAGAAAGTGTGAAATTTACTATTGAGATTAACATGACAACTGATATGGATGGTCTTGGTTGTTTTTGAAACGGCTAAAAAGTGACCAGGGTATAGAGAACGGATGCACGTTCCATTTTACTGCTCTGTTTTATAGCCTCTTTTACTACTGATTATATCATTTTTCTTTTGTTTATCATTTTCCTATGGCATTTGTTTTCTCTGTAATAGTGTAGTGTTGTAACATTAAATAATTTTCTGTCCCGTCGTATATACGTTTATGTGTGTGTGTGTGCGTAACCACGGATATAAATTTTGTCGGTAGTCACACCATAACCTGTTAATCAGTCGTCTCATCAATGTTACCCTTCAGCACCAATTACTGAAAAGCACAAAATGTTTCACAAAACCTTTCGAAAGTTACAGGTTTGTTCCTCATTACGTCTTGTATATAAGGTATAATCAGTATCATGCAGTGAAGAATTTTCTACATTCCTAAAAAATATATCTTATATCTGTCTAAGTCTGACATGAGCTTCACTCTTCTCGAATGTGATAGGATGTTTTAGGACTAAAATACACATACTTCTTGTTGAAGGATAGCGAGCAAGGTGATGTAATTGTGTAAATTTCTGTCATCTTTTAAGGAAAAATTAGATAAACAATTTTCCAGTAGCATATAAATCATTCCTGGATTTTATGCGGTTTCAAAAATTACCTACCTTTCCCTTCAACGACAGGTTTTTCAAGTTTCTAATTTATAATCTTTCTTGATTTTTCAGGTCTAAGTAATGTACCTGAGGATTCAGAACATTTCATGGAAGAGTCTCAGTCGGTTTCATCCAACCGGTCGGGTTCGACAAGACGTACAAATGTTGCTCAGGTAAGATCACAGTAGTTTTTAACATAATAATTGTCAAATGGTATCTCAGTTCTTGAAGGAAAAATGGTTTGTGATAGAAACATTGTGTCATTGAATAGTTATCACAGGAAATATATACGTTCATTTTTTTTATCGAGATCTGAAAACTACACCTTAGTAGTTTTTCGTTGAATTTTTTTTACGATGAATACTCATTTTCATTTAGACTTTTGATATAGGTTAAACAGTTCAAATTAGAATAATATAAGTGGTTATATTCATAACTTCCCATCGATATTTCAGGAACGCATTTGTCTATCTCATATCGGTATATGGGTACTATAAATGAATACCTCAATATAGCTTCATTTTCTAACTTCACATTACCTGTGTGTTCAGCAGTGATTAGCATTAGAATCTACTGTGTGCATTTCGTCTCATTTATAAATTATTATTAGCCACATGTACGTAAATTCAGAAATATCAACAAAAAGTCACAAGTATACACAAATAATATCAAAGTATACCTGCTGCACAAGTGGTGTCTATCATGCTTTATTAATTTAGTGTTGAACGTTTTCAGTAGATGCTGAGTTTTAGTTAAAATAGGAATACTGTAAGTTACTTGGATTGAAGTATATCCAGATGATGAGTTCCTGTTAAGGAGAAACGCAGCTTTGTGAATTCCACAGCTAACCACCATCAAACAAATATACTATGAAAACGCCTCTTTTCCGAAAACAAGTATCAGTAATCATATAACTATGGCTTTCGAAGCTTTCAACTGATTTTGGCTAATTTCATACTACCGGTAATTCATAGAGTTATCAGCATAGATAGGTGTGTTTATTGCTTTCGTTACTAGAGCAAGACTTTTTTGAGAGATAGATTTTCCTTCACTATCTAAAAGAATGTTTATTACTTCGCTTTCTTCTTTGTTATTAATGTTAATATACACGTGTGTATGCAACAGGCGGAATATTTATATTCATGCTAAAGGTTAGATATCTGATTGTAATTGTGCTCTACGTGTAGTTGATATTTTTCTGTAAATCTCACATACTGTTCTAGGATAAAATCTGTGTTGTGATTTTCTTCTCAACTTAGTTAATAACATTACTTTTAATTCAGTTTTGTAAATGGCCTTACCATTTTAATATATGTTTGTCGTATTTCCGAAGTATTACGTACTGTAGTTCCAAGCTAAAACTATAGTGAAAACTAATACTTCACCACGTGGCATTCTTCTAGTCAATATACTGCTTTCAGTTGGTATTTCTGTTAGGGATATTATCTTAGAACGATGATGAGTGAATGTACTTAATGAATACAAATATGTGTTAATGCATTTGGAAGTAATTCACATCTATCGTATCAAAGTTGATAATGCTATATGATTGTCCAAAAATTGTTAAACAGTGCCGATTTTCAGTTTGCGACTTATTGACTAAAACTCAAGCATTAAATCAATGACCATGGGAAGCACAAAGTTCTCATACTCTAAATCCTCTCAATTATGTTTTTTGGATGATATTGTCCAGTTTCATGTTTTCTATGATATGAATAATAATAATAATGATAGGTGGGAATCTAGGCTTTTTCGTTCGCAAACATATTGCGTAAGCAGGAAAGAGTTAGCTAGTTTATTTGTTTACAGGTCACTTCTTTGACATTAAATTATGTAACATGAAAGATAAGTAAATATCTCATTGTTATAACTTTCTTGAACATATCATAAGCCGAACCACTGCTTTTCTTGATGAACAGTGTGAAGTGAAATAGGTCTAAGCTGTGAAAAGTCATAGGTGGTGAGACTAAAATACATTCCCAATGCATTAAATCTTTGACTATTGATTCGGATTACGTAGAGTGGTGCAGACTGTCCGGGTGGGTCTTTGGGATGCTAGGAATCAGATTTTGGAGACTGTTAGTAGCATGTCTCAAAATTGTTCTCGATGGTTGAGATATTTCCACTCCTTGTTATCATGTGGACTCTGGAATCTTCATTGCTCGTCATCTAACTATTCTCTTTCTGGTACATCTTCGTCCATTATAGTTTCGTTAAATATTTTCTCTTTTTTGTGTGCCTTTCTGATTTGTAGTAACTTAAGCTGCTACACTTTGTGCAGGCTTCTGCGTTAATAAGTTCGGTGGTCACCATGCATTGTTCGTCTATGATTTCTATGCACATCTGAAAAGATCTCAGTGCCTTGAACATGATAATTTGTACATAAAGCCCTTATAATACAAATGGTCAAGGAATATACAACTTTCACGGTCTTTATTTTGTTTGTTAAGTCGACAAAATATCTGTGACTATGTTTTCACCTTCGTTGTAGGCATAAGGTGCTTTTATGTATGGTCACAATTTTCAGGAGTAAGCAAAGAAACTTAACTACTTAACTCCTGTAATCAAATTGATTTAAGCTTTGGATTTCACTATTTACCTAATTTCATTTTAATAAATTTAAGCAACTTAAGGTATGATATTAAACTGTGCTTATTTCACAAGTTGTAACAGTCATCATTAAAAAAAGCATACTGGGTAACTCTTCAACAGTTAGACAGAAATATGCTAAAATAGAGTTTGACTGAAAGCAACAATTTTCACAGAGTTAGTGGTATTATGTTATCGAGGTAATAATTCTTAAATGGGATGAAAACCTGATTTCAAGTTGAAGTATGCACTGAGAATGTTGTCTAGCAGTAAGAAAATGGGAGCTTCTCAACTAAACCATCCAGCTCACAGAACACAACTATACTAAGATTCCAAATTTTCTCAGCGCTTTTGTTCCATCTGAGTGTGAGTGTTAGCGCAACAAAGGCTATATATATATATATATATATATATATATATATATATATATTCATGATTATGATAAGTTGTTCCTATAGAATAATAACGGAACGTCAGTAGTGTTCAACCGGATTTGATAAACTAAGTGTAATCTGCACGTAGCCATTTCGTTTTATTTTTCTTAAGTCTCTTCTGTTGAGATGATGTTGTCTGCATTTAATGATTACACGTATATGTTTAATGACTAGTTGTATTTCCCTATGAGTAACTTTCTTGTCTAGTACACTTATTGGGACCTCAGTTACTTCCATCCATAGAAAGAACAAGTCTTGTCGACTGTTATCATAATGACATTTGTTAAGAACATTGATTACCACATGGTTATTTGTTTACAAACGCTCTGAGAACAAATCATCGCACTGTCTCGGACATGCAAAACGTACTCGTAATTTTAGCTTGTCAGTCTAATATTATTTTTTGTGTTAATGTCTAACTAAATTATATCATGTGTAATGTGTATTTGGAGGATAGAACTATTTGAGGTTAGTTGGTCGACAACAAAGTGACCGTCGTGCAACAGTGTCTTCTACCAGCTCTGTAGTCAGCTCTCCAATTATTACCCGTCCTCGTCTTGGATCATCTCCAACTTCTCCGTCAACAGAAACTTCCCTCCCACCGAAGCCTCCTAGGAAATAATGACTATATTTTAACAACTAAAAAGTAGGTATAATCCATTACTATTTGTGCATGCAGTTATTGACTGCATGTTCCCCGATGGATGGGTTTACATATTAAGAAAAAGTCTTAGAATGTACTGCATGCTGCCTACCCCGTGTTATGTTTCTCAACTGGTGAATGTGTTAAAATCCTCTGTCACATTCTCACTGTAATCGTTCATGACAGTCTGTGTAAAATTTGTTGTTTCCTCCTATGTTTTTTACCAATGCCTCATCGTCTCCGATATCTTTCAGCCTAACAGTTAATTACATTTCCCCTTTAATTACCGTTTTATATTAAAGGATGATTTATCTGTATTGGGTATAGCTTGAAATATTGTATTTTTTTAAAGACATTTATTCCAGGGTACTGCAAATTAGAGACGGTAGTAATAAAATTATTTAAATATCATGTATTCACTAGTAAAAGCACTTCTGCTACATACCATGTGTGAATATAAAAACAAACAAACAGTAGTTTTATTTCCTTCCTTCTACTTTTGACTCTGGTACAGGTAACTCACCGACCTATATATATATATATATATATATATATATATATATATATATATAATGCGTAATGAGTCATTTCTCACGCCTTTTTTTCTCTATATGCTTGTTCATATCATACGCTTAGTTTAGTAATGAGTAATTTATGCTACCCAGCACCGTATGTTATGCATTTTTACTGCATGAAAATTAACTTCGCAGGAAAAATAGACAACAAAAAATAAGCAATTAAATCCCTCTTTTACTATGCCTCAGAAACACCGAAGGAAGGAATTTCTTGCTTCTTGAACTTTGTTTTGTGGCTCCCATTATTCTTAATTTTGTGTTGTGTGCATCTAGTTTTCTACTAACATTCCAGTGTTAAGCTGTTTATGTTTATTGCCTGTCTACCACTCTGGTTAAGTATAGTCTTTCTTATAAAATATGCTGATGTATGTTACCAATGAATACCTTTGTATTTTTTCAGACAGAAGGAAATTTGAGCAAATAATATCCTTTTCGATAATTTCTTCTGGCTCGACAGTTATATATATATATATATATATATATATATATATATATATAAATTAAAAGTCAAGGCAGGCAAAAGTACCAACAGTCCCAAAAAGGGCTTTGTTCTTACAACTCCAGTTCCTCGGCGAAAATATCAGTGAGATAATAACACAGTGCTTAAGGAACGCGGTAAAAAGAGCATTCAGTGCTGCTGAATTATGCTGTCTTCAAAACCACCTCTGTTTTGCGTTCGGGAGTTAAAGGCAAACTTCCTGATTTCTCCTCTTCTATGTATATCTACTAATTTGACTTATCCTCTGGAGCCAATTACATAGACCGTACAACTAGGCTTGTTTGTCATCGGTGGCATAGCGGTTAGGTCGGTCGCTGAGTATGCACATGGTCTGGGATTTGATCCCCGGCAGATGGACACGTGATATCAATGGTCGGCCTGCTAAATTTGGGCCACCAACATCACATGCTGAAAATTCCATACTTGTATCAAAAATACTGTGTGGAGTCAAGCTATAATAAAATTTAAAAAAATTAGTTTCCAAACACCATCCTGCTTGGTTAATTAAGGGCGAAACGAAGTCCATTCATAGTTCTATTCTATCTCATCTCGTGGATGCAAAACACAAGACTGATGTTAACGAGGCTTTCAAAGTCATCTACCGCATACCAACTAATCTTAATTTTACCTTAAGAGTTCGTCTACTACATACAGTTGATGCTGTTGGAATATATATATATATATATATATATATATAATTGTAGAGCCAGAAGAGGAAATTATTGGAAAGGATATTCTTTGCTCAAATTTTCTTTTGTCTTTTTTACTTGTCATCTTTGTGATTTCTATAATAACTTCTTTAATTTCCACCTCTTACAACATCCTCTGACCTTTCTGCGCCATCGGTATACTCAACTTATAGATATCTTGGTAATACGTGACTTCGAGTCTAATCACGTGTTGTAACAATTCCTTGTAGTTTACTTCACTTAAGGCCTGTGCCAACTGTCACAGCCCATTCATCGAGTGTGATACCTTTGCAAAATTCACGATTAGTTTATTGCATGTGATATTTTAAACTTCTTTTTTCTTAAGCGTACATTCTTAGAGGGTTATTTACGTTTCTTTGTCACTAATATACAAATCTATTGAAAATTGACAGTGTCAGATCAAGTTCACAATTTTCTCACGTTTTATGTGTCACAGCTTGTTTGCATGTGCACTCAACAGTAAATTCACTGTGTCTCTTAAGTTTTTCAGTAGTAACTCTTGAGAGATGCATAAAATATTTCTGGTTATTTCACTCCACTTTTAATCCGTCAAACCAAAACATGACATCAGTCCACAAAGTCTTTCACAGTTGGTTTAAGTCAGGTAGGAAGGTGTAGACTGCGTGACTGGGGTCTTCGAGACTCTAAGAACCAATGGCTGGAGACTATTGGTGATATGGTTAAAAATCATTCTCGGTGGTGCAGATGAATTCACTTCTTTTTTGATCTCCAATATCCATTAAACCATCAGGTTCTTTCCAATCTCATTTGTGTGGTATATGGATTGTGGTAACTTGAACTGTTCCACTACTATGCAAAGTTCTATACTACAACTCAGTCAGGTGTTAACTTACGTCAGACAGGGACTATATCACTCGAAAAATCCACTTGAATGAAAAATCAAGTTGTGCATCTATAGTTTTATCTTAATTAATAAGCAGACATTTCGAATCGAAATCAACATAACTGAATGAATGCATATAGAAAAATCGATAAAACGTTTTAATTCGTTATAATTTGTGATCTCTTCAACGTAACTGTTTATAATCAATAATTTCTCATAATGACATATTTATGAGTAAGTAGGGTTATGTTATGTATCATAAAATTGTTCTGCTTTTAGTAAATAACACCAAATTTTAGTGTCTTATTTTACATAAATCAATGACAATAAAAATAAGATAAAATATTAGTTGTTGTGTAAAAAAATAGTCGAAATTAATTTTTCCGGCTTTTCTTAAAAATATTCTTCTTGAGGTTTTGTGTTGTGCCTAACTTTTGGCAATAAAATAACAGTAACTGACTGTCGTATTCAACATTTCATAATGTCTAATTGTGAGTAATACGTAAAAGTTAGAGTGTGTGTATGTTTGTGTACAATTAAAACGTGAGCTTAAACTCTGTCCTTTAGGGGATTTCAGAAATCACTGATGAGATATTTTCACTGCCCTTGTGTTTTTTCCTATCTAACGTCCTGATGGGTATTTTCTGCGATTTAAACTGTTACTTTTTCGACATCAACTATCCTCCAGATAGTTGGGAGTTAATGTTGCAGTAACCTGGAGTATTTCAACTGTGCATATCTCTGCTTACTTTTCACTGAATGTCGGAAAACAGCACTATCTTATACGGAAGTGTAGTATTTATTTAAATCACATCACTTTCCTCATTGTCTCATGCAAGTGTATCTCTATTCAGACTGCTCATATTATTCTCAACTTCTTTTTTTGTGTAAAAATTTATCAGTCGCCATTTTATTTGATCTCTCTTTCTCCATACTACCTCCTACGTACTGTGTAGTTAGTATTTGTTTTTTTTTTACTTCCGAGGAACTCGTGTTAAATCTCACTTCAGTCACATAATATCAACACTCTGGGTGATTCTCTATATTCCACCTGTCATATAAAAAGTTTCATACAGGCGGTTCCCTTTATTATAGTTTGAATCAAGAAAGAATGAACATTTTTGCAGGATAATACGAGCTCGTTTGTTTGCGTGGATTCTATTCAACTGAGTACATCCTAAACAAATCAGTTATATGTTACGTAATTTCTGAACATACTTTTTACAATGATTTCAAGTTATCGATAGAAAGTATAAGCAACATAATTTCAAAGATGATGTAAGCAGACAGTTATTTAGTGTTAAAAGAGTAACTATTTATATAGTGATTAGACGAAGGGGTGGAATTCAAACTTCTCTTGGAAACAAGGGTGGACTAGAGACAAAATACAAGATAGAACAAGAGAGTTAATTTATACACATTATGGTGGAGAGTTCAGGTGAGTTGGGGGTGAATAGTGAAGTAAAATTATAAGATAGATAAAATAGTTTAATTCACTAGATTTGGAACCTTAATAGTGAGTTCAACTCAGTGAGTGAAAATCAAAATCAAGATTCAGTGGAGTGTTATGCAGGAGAACAAAACACAAAAGCACATGAACAAAACGATTATGGTTACGAGGGTAGTGGGAGATTAGTCCCTCTCTCTCTTTCTGTATGCATAGGTTGGGTCGAAGTCTTTTGATGACAATTGCTTCTGCAAACCGAAGTAACCATGCTTTTCTTTTTTATATTGATTATTTTGAAAGCCTGACTTATTTCCACTGTATGTCCCGTGTCAATTAGGTGTCTGGCGATTGCGCTTGAGCTCGTATTATCCTGCAAATATGTTCATTCTTTATTTCTGTATTCAAAATATAAAAAGTTCTTGACGTAGTTCGTCACTATCTAGTTTATAGTACTGCAAACCTTATTGCATGTAAGAAAAGATAATTGCCTCTTTTGTTGTTATTTTTTAACATATACCTAACTGCTTGCTATTTATATTGTGTATTGCATGAATCTCAACTCTCGATGAAGTTGATTTATTTGTAATCTCTAAAATCAAACTATAAATTCACTATTAGTGTAACTTTAGAATTAGCTAGTTTATTTGTTTGTCATTGATATATTCACTTTCATGAAACATAAATTTTTGCCATTTTGATTATGTATGCATGTGTGATATGTCTCCTGGTATTTTACTGTTTCAATAATTTGTTTATTGTTTATCTTTAGGAATCTACGCCACGTCGTATATCAACACGTCGTACTGCCCGGCCTCAATCAATTCCACAGTCAATCAAAACAGTGAGTGTTGGCGATCCAACTGATTAGTTTTATTATATAAAAAAAATAGAGTGAATCAAACAATTGAAATATTTCTTCCACTGCCTGCCTTTCCTGCTGACGAAACAATTGATTAGGTTTTTCTTAAAATAAAAGAAATATTATTGTACAGCTGCTTACCCCAGTCACCTTGAAAATTTCAAGCTGTTCGCCTAGATTCCTCTTCAATAATACTGTTCAAAAGATAGATTGTGCATATGTGTGTATGTGTATGTGGAACTATGCATTTTATTTTCCATTCTCTCTGTGTCTCTATGTCATTACTATTAAACAAGTTTGTTAATTTGTGTTTTATATAAATGTCCGATAAAAATCTGTGTAATACTGTATTCTCAAATTTCTACATTATTTTTCATCTTTTCATATTGTACACGAACACACTCTGTACACACACACTACATTGAACATGATACAAAATCTTCATGCGTGTAGATTTCCCTATTTCTTGTTCTTTTTGTTGTTATTCTTCTGTATTGGTTCCTATGTAACAGAGAAGAATATCCCCTTTTCCTATCATCAACATTTATGTGCAAAAGAGAAAACTTTTCGTGTGTTTAAACAATTTGAGCTACATGATAATCATTTAAATATTCTTCACACAATGTGTATTCTACGACTGAACTGATTCAATTATTTTTTAATAGTCTACAGTTCGTTTGTGTATGGGTTTTCTTTTTGTGTATTACCCTTCTTAGGTATGTTAATTAGAGGTGGTCTCGTGTTGTCCACATTTTTGTGTGTGTGTATGCCTTAATTTGTGTACATAAAAAAACAACAATATGCACTTTGTGTATCTTGAGTTATTATCATCCTGTAAAAGTGATAAAGCCCTCCACACCCCCCATCCCATCACCTTCTAAAGTAAGTTTTAAAGAAAACAAACATTGGACAATGAACTCAATAGAAAAAAGCGGATATATATCACATATCTACTTTATTGTATACGTGGTAAAAATGCTGAAAAAAAATGCTGCATAGGAAAATAATTTGACAGTACTTTCCAATTTTCTTCATTCTTTTTGTGTCATATATATGTGTTCAATGTAAAAGATAAATATATACATATTTTTCTGTCATTCTATGGTGTATTTTAAAAATATCATATGAGATATTGATGTCTTCAAAAAAAAAGAAAAGAAAAAAGAACATTAGATTTTTCATGTGTTTCTTTATCAGTTTTATTCTCATGTTGCTTTGTTTGTGAAAGGTAGGCTTGGACAGAGTAGTGAGTGTTATTCACAGAATGGGGGCGGAAAGTATGCTGAAAGTTCATACAACTGGTTCCCTTAATAAATTTCGATAAAGAAAGGAAGACGAAATTTGCAAATTTCGTCTGCTGAAAGTGTTTTATTAGTTCTATCAGACTTGAAATGTTTGTAATTGTTATCCGAAACTAATAAAGTAGTAGCTGTACAAGTAGGTAACCCGGTACAGGTTTGAACAGTGCACTATGAAATACACAATTCGTATGGGTTAATGATATTAAGAGGTTTGTCAGGACATACTGGAATCGTTGAGTTATATTTGACCACCTGTAGTACTGTTTCAAATCAATACTGGATGTCTATCATCTAGTTGGTGAGTATGATAAGTCTAGTGAAGTCTTCTATGTTGGAGTTGAAGACATTTTTATTTTGTTGTTGTTGTTGAATAGTATATGGGCCATTGAATCGGGTCCCAGTGGTAGAAATGGCCTACGAGATTGCCTTGTAACCGGAGGGTCATGGGTGAGTACTGCCAGTGAGTGCTAAATTAGGATGAAACAGCTGACTGTCCAGTATTCTTTGGCTTTCAAGGGTTCTATAACTGATATCGATCCGTAGTCAAACTCGAAAAACAAATCAACTTCTTGTTACACTGTAACTTATGCCCATACTGTGTTCCAGGTGTTGCTGGAACTCCCTCCACATGTATAGATTGTACTTTTGCTGTCATACGAAAGAAAACATCACTGATCAAACAGTTATACTTTTACTTGATGCATGAAATCTCATACAATTACGCTGCACCAAAAATTTCAGTTAACAAAAGGAAAGACAAATTCTATAGGACGCGGTGAATTCGTTGCAGTGTATCTATGTTTTCTGCAAAGGCATTGAGGCTGAAAACATTACGGTGTATATTTGGGAAGAATAATCTACGTTCTTATCGGGATATAGTCTGCTAGTAAAGACAAATGCTGAGTGGAGGTTATGTATTCGACGAAATCTAGCTGTTGATTAAGTTAAATGAATGAATAATTATGCAATTTAATCAATAGATTTGTAATATGGATAGAGGGTTGAAGTCAAAGTTGGTCAACTAAAAATATGTTTGAGTTGGAAAGTGATATGGTCATTAAATAGTAATCCGTTATGTAACCTATTCACTTCATATTATCAAAATGAAGAATAAAAAATCAGGAAGAGTTATACGTAGTAAATGTGACCTCTAGCTTCACGTGGGAATGAAATAGGAACTGGTCATTATGACCTAGGGATAATTGTCAGGACCAGAAATGGTCAGCGTGGGGCCACTGATATGACATGCATAACGTGGCTTTTCGCAAGCACACGTGAATAAACTAGGCATGGCAGATGATGTCTCAGGGGTGTGAATTGGTGGTCGGCGTCCTGTTCCTTGAGGTGCCTCCAGTGGGTATAATTGGTGGCTAACGAGAGTCGCACGTGAGCTTCATTCGGCTGCGATTAAAGAGCGTTCTTCAGCAAGTCTAAGCAATGCGTCTACTGACTGAGCTTGCCTGAAGAATATACAGGTAAACAAGTGGCTGCCCCTCCATCGCAATTGCGGATTTTTAACTGTCGTCCCTGGAGACTATCAAAAATCCGTCATATTAAAGTTTAGCCAAGGTGGTTTGTAAATAGAAAAGCAAGATGGAGATAAATTTCAGTAATAAGCAAAAAGAATTTGGAAGGAAATGTCAACCGGGGATAGAAATATTCGCAGTTTTTTGTCAGGGTAGTTGTACTCCCTGTCTTTCTGGATACAAAGCTCGTTTGGTTTCAGTGTCCTCTAAATACAAGTCGATTTTTCGGATGTACTTGATGAAACGTATAAAATAGTAAGTTCACTTCCTAATTTCCCTATATAAATTCTAAGCAGAGCATTTCCCTGTCGACATTTATTGAAGTAATTAGTGTTAGTAATTTTCTCAATTGAATCGAATATTCCCTCTACACGGTCTAGTGCTCCAAGGACTGATGGTACAAAACATGTTCTTGGGTTATTCAAATACATTGACACAAATACTAGTTCACTCATAATCTTATGTCTTTTGAATGACTTCGCAACATGTCTCATACTATCAGTTTTTCTAAGCAGTCTTGTTCCTCCGCGTATTTACTATATAGATGAGCCTTATTAAATGATTTAAGCAGGCGGGTCTCAGTAGACCTGCTGTCACACCAGTAAATTTATTATCTACATTCTTTGCATAGAATTTCGTGCCATTTATTGCTATACTTGGTTCAATTCTATTCACAGAAGTTATTTCAGTTAAATTCACGAAGAGTCAACCTATTGCACGTAATTTAAAGCTTCTTCTGTGTAACCAGGTTCGTTAGTCGCAGCTAGAGTTAGGTTATTCAACACCTGCAAGAACAGTCTCCCACATGGTTAAGTTAAAAGCAATCCGCTTAGTTAGACAGTTCATTTTTGCAGCGTATAATTTACTATGGATATGAAGTTGTAAGAATTATACTTTATTGTAGTTTACAAAGTAAAATAGAATCTTAAAGGTGTCGAAAATGTTTTTTGGTGTGCTAATTAATTAAACGACCTACTTGTCTATTTTTCTGTGCTTTGAAGTTTCTGTAGCGATTGGGTTGATTTTCCGGAGTAGAGTCGCTAGTCCCAGGCTAAACCTCCCCTCTTTTCCGGGCTAGTAAACTAGGAGATGGATAAAGATGATTAACAACGAACTCTGGCAACAAACCAATCAAGAACTTATCCTCCTAAAAGTATCCAGAAGGAAAAGTTGATGGATTAAACATACACTAAGGAGACTATTCAGTGACATCTTGATAACCTATATTCAACAGATACTTGATAGCTTAATTGCTTTCTTTGTATTGCCTTATTTCATACTGTTGATTTAACAGTTTTGATTTGCTCTTTAATACCTATGATTGTGTTTCACAAACATTACTCTGTAGGATTTCCATTGTCGCATTTTATGCTGTATACACATTGAAATCTCAGAAGGGACATGAGTTCCTTCAAGGTTGCAGATACGCCTTACTGACAAGTGCCAACTAGCAGGAGACCTAGGTCCGACGCTTCCTGCCGATTGCCTCCAACCATCTAAAATCAACAATTCAAAGTGCACCGTGATAGCGAGCCACCTAGTGGCATGGTGGCTGCATTACAAACTTGATTCTGATAGAATTCAGTCTGCACCAAAGATAGGACTAGACATATTACACTAGTTACAGACTAGTGTCCAATCAAAAATATACTGACATCATATTAAACTTTGGATACTGATACTTTAACAATCTGATAAACGACTGTAGACTTATATATAGAATGAAGTAAGGCTTGATTTGCATGCAAAACATTCTTTTACCTGAAACACATAAGCTTTATGTAAGTTTGAGTGTTTAAATAGACTCGGATTAAACATGATTTAGCATTTACAGCGAAACATGTTTTCATGATTCTCTACGGTAACTGGAAGAAATTTTGAGAAGGCCTTCGACAGTGTTGACCGCGAAGTAATTTGGAAACTACTCAAGTACTACGGCGTACCCCAAATATTCATCAACCTTATTCAACAGCTGTACGACAACGGCACATGTCAAGTGATTCACAACGGAAAACTCAGTGAGGCGTTTGGAGTAAACACAGGAGTCAGACAAGGGTGCTTATTATCACCAATGATATTCCTAATTGTGGTGGACTGGATTATGCGTCAGACAGTGGGAAACGAGGAAACATGGATATCCTGGACCGACGTGAAGAACCTAGAAGACCTGGATGTCGCGGATGATTTATGTTTGATGTCACACAAAATCGAAGACTTACAAG